GCCCCGACCCGAACGGCGTCTGTGTTCGGCTGAGTAACAGCGGGCTTCTCAAGCCGTCTTGGTGGGTCTGTGAAGTCCTTCCCCTGAGTCACCCTCTCCGGAGAGAGCAAACGTGTTCGCGGCCCCACGTGACCCAGACGCGGACTCCGCCGCGGCGGCTATTCCAGCCCGTTTTGGGGATCATTTGACCAAAATCTGGCTTCCTGTGGGATCATTTTAATCCTGTCTATAGTTCTTTTCTATTTTCACATGAAACCACCAGAACGATGACAGGATCGAGAGTCGCGGGGGGGCGTTCGTCAGAAGGCGGTCGTCCCCGGGTTGCAAAGCCGCCGGGTGGTGACAAGGCTCGGAACACGGGTCGATGCTCCCACACGGACAAGCCTCCGACACATCCTGTCACCAGAGTCAGCAGATACGGCGTGCCTGTCACCTGCGTAGAACAGACAGGGCGCGTGAACGACAGGGAAATGATGCTTCGGTACAGCTGTCAAAAAAAATTAAATGAGCAACAGTGTGATTGGGAACGTTTGCTCCCTCCCTGCCCAACGACTCTGCACCGACGGGGTCTGCGGCATCCGGTAACACAGCCACACAGAGCAGCGTCTTCCCGGGGCGTCTGCCAACAGAACACATCGTTTTCCCCTTACATTTTCAAACATGCAAAAAGTATAATCAACAGACTGACGCAATGAAACCCTGCGTTCTCTTCGTCTAGCTTCTACCATGATCTCTCATCATATTCTGCGATTTTCTTCATCCAATGCCCCAAGGAATGCATGCATATATGTATACGTGCACGCAGGCAGGTACATATACGTGTGCACGCATGTTTCTGCTGAGTATTTTAAAGCAAGCATCAGACATCATCACATTTCGCCTGGGAAGACCTGCATATAAATGTTTCAGATAGAGGTTTCTTGTTGACAAAAAGCTGTAGCATCTCTTCCCACCCAAGAAAATTAACAACAAATTCTTAGTTTCACCCACCTGTGGTCCGTGGCCCCCATGCTAGAAGGAAATTGGTTCTGCTAAGGATTGAAAGTCTTGTTATTTAAGTTCTAGGGGTGCTACGGTCTGAATGTCTGTGTCACCCTGAAATTCCTGTGTTGAAATCCTCACCCCCAAGGTGATGGTGTGAGCAGGTGGGGGCTTTGGGAGGTGACAAGGTCCTGAGGGTGGAGCCTCATGGATGGGACCAGTGTCCTTATAAAGGCGACCCCAGAGAGCTCCCTCGCCCCTTCCACCATGCGAGGACACAGCGAGAAGACGCCGTCTATGAACCAGGAAGTGAGTCCCCACCAGACACAGCCTCTGCCACGCCGGGATCTCCACTTCCAGCCTCCAGAGCTGGGAGCAACAAATATCAGTTGTTTATAAGCCACCTGTCTGTGGTGTTTTTTTATTGCAGCCTGGACAGACTGAGACAACAGGCCAGTGAGGAGGATGAGGTGTCGGATCTACCATAAAATGGGCTGCGTGTGTGGAAAGCAGGTGCCTGAGAAATCAGAGACAGAGAAACAGAGAGAGAGACAGAGAGAGACAGAAACAGAGACACAGAGAGAGAGAGACAGACAGAGAGAGGGAGAGAGACGTTTGCCCTCCACCGAGGAAAAATCAGAAATGCCATCACGGCTGCTGGTTTCCTGAGCTCCTCCCTCTCTCCACATCCTGCCAAGACCAGAACTACAGTTTTTCATCTTTTTTAAAAAAAAAAAATTGTGTGAGTAAATAGAAACGTGTTATCCTTTTCCTCGAAGCTGGACAGGGGAACAGACTGGATGAGCTTCCAGGAAACATATCAAGACATGCACAGAACAGACAGGTGTGTGCAGCTCCCAATGGCCAAGAGGCTGCGTGCACAGTGACACAATAACCCCAATATTGGCAAAAAGGGGTGCTTTGTGTGCTTGCCGCACCCTCTCCAGCCGCAGGGCTGCGGGGCTGCCGCGCCCCGTCGGGGAACGATGTCACTGAGACAGGCTTCCTCTGATTGGGGACATCAGCCTTGTGCACAGGCGGTTTGGGTGTTCTGTGTGTTGCCGTGAGACGGCGCTTTGAGGTTTTTCACAGCTTTTTTTTGCATCAGACGCCCCCGAGGCCCACGCACAGAGCTTACCGTGAGCTCGTGTGGGTCGCCTTCTGGCTGGGGGTTTCTCATCCCGGATGTCGCTGCATCGGCTTTCTAGGGTTCACCGTGGGGACAGTCAGGAGAAGCCGGCGGCAGTGGCCATGTCGCCCCCTCCTTTCGTGGAAATTCCGGGTCCCGCGCATGGGCCGTGTTTTGGAATCATCCCTGGCCACCCGAGGAGCTGTTTCCCAGGGCGGTCTGCAGCGCAGCTTCGAAGGCTCGCAAAGGCGGCTCTCGGTCTCCATAGACACATAGACGTTCGGGATGGACAGGGTGACACGCCAGCCCCGCGGCACCGGTTATCCACCTGCACCTGTCACCAACCTCAAAGGCAGAGGCAAAGGCGGGAACGTCAGTTTGATTTCAGGACTACACGTGGGCAGGCAGTCTTTGGAAGAAGGGTGTGGGGCGCACGGTCTATAAGCCGACCTGTGTGGTCCACGGGATGGGAAGCCACGTCCTGCCGTGAAGAAGCAAGAAGCATCGGAAGACGCTGCGCTCTCTTGCGTCGGACGCTGGACAACTCCATGACAGACTTGCTCGTGCGTCTTCTCCGGAGGGCGCACAGAACAGGCCACCAGGCTTCGGGGCGTTGCAGGAAAGACAGCCTGTGACGTCCAGATGAGGGGAGCATGTGACGGGGACATCGTCTTAAATCCAGCAAGTCACCGTGGACGTCCGAGCCTGCGTTTAAGCAGAACGGCGCTCCTCCTGCCGCCGACCATGGGGTCTTGGTTCCGAGGGGCGGGAGCTCCGGGTGGGACTCCAGCCACCTCCGTGCACATGGCCCCAAAGAACCCCGCAGTTGTGATGCCTGGAGTTAAGACAAGGAGAGCAGTTGCCGTGTGCACTTTGCGGGGCGGGAATCTTTGGTGGTGGCGGACGTGGCCTGATGCGGGATTCTCCCGAGGGCTCCCGAGCTCACAATTTACTCTGTGAACAACCGATGGCCGACCCCGTGGGCATCTGTGTTTCTCGTCATCACCTCACTTACGTGGCCGCGTCTGAGAGATTGGGTTCCGGGAGGCAGTTCCCTGGGAGCCAGCGCGGGGCACGGTCGGCCTCCCGGAATCGCCCACACACGCACCCGCTCGCCGCACGTGCTGCGCCCAAACCACGGCATCTCAGAGCGGCTGACACGTGCGCCTGCTCCTCCTGGGGCTCCAAAACGAATTTCCACAAACCGGGGGACCTAACACAACAGGAGTGTGTCCCCTCCCGGTCCCGGAGCCCAGGAGTCTGAGACGCAGGTGTCTCGGCGCCGCGCTCCCTCCGCAGGCTCCGGGGGAGGCTCCTTCCTGCCTCTTCCGGCTCCTGGGGGCTCCAGGCGTCCCTGGGCTTGTGGCCACGTCACTCCTGTCTCTGCCTCCGTCTCCACGTGGCTTCTCCTCTGCGTCTGTGTCTCCTCTGGTGTCTCTCAGGAGGACGCTTGTCACTGGGATGGCCTCATCTCGAGATCCTCCACTAATCATATCCGCAAAGACCCTACTTCCAAATAAGGTCCCATCCGGAGGTTTTGGGGGACACCAAAGCAAACGTATCTCTGTTTTTCTCCCAGAGTACGGACGGCAGGGGACAGGGGTCTCTTATAGTCAGCAGCTTACAGCCCCATCAACATCACGAACCTGAGGAGGGGGGTGGGGACTTCCGGAAGCCACCCCATCCTGGATGTCCCAGATCCCCCGGGGCCGATGGTCGGCTCTCCCCGTGCAGCCTGCAGAGCGGCCTTTCTCCCCCAAGGCGGCCTGGCCTCCAACTCCCCGCGTCATTTGCAAAGTGCCGCAAACCTCACGCCGTTTCGGCCAAACCCCAGCTCCTGGGAACCTGCCGTGTTGGCTTCTCAGAGGCCTGGGGGTGGGGGTCTCCTTCTGTCCCCAAACCAGTACAGGCACAGCCCAGGCACAAACACAGACACCCCCGCATGGCCCCCGTGGTGCAGCCGGGCTGGGAGGCTGGTTTGTGGGGTCCACACCTTCGTTGGGTGCCGGGCCCCAAACAGTCTCCTGAGACAGGCCAGGTGCGGCTCATGGTGAAGCAACCGCAGAACCTGGGAAGGACCCCCGGGGATTCGCAGTGGGTCGGGGCTCTCAGTGCAGAAGACAAGCCAGAGAGGGGGCCGGAGCGAACCCCCAGGCAGGCCACACCCCGACATCTCACGGACCATCCTGTACACAGCTGGGCCTCCCGCTCTCGGTCAGGGGGTGGGGAGGGCTGGACATGTTCTTGGGTCCTGACCGGATGTCCTTTCCAGCTGGGAGTCTCCGAGAATGGCCTTGAAGCAGAAAAGGAATCCGCCACTAAGCGAGACCACAACGGCTGTGCTGCCAGAGGAGGGCCGGGGTACTTCCGGGAGACCCCCGAGCTCCCAGAGTCCCTGAGGACGAAATAGCCGAAATAGCTTGTCCTCGTTCCTCTGCGATAATCGCGGCCGCAGTGCACAGAGTGACTCCGAGCAAAACACACAGGAATTGTAGTATGCGCCAGGACAGGGGTGGGGGCTGGAGCTGCTGGCACCCCCAGACCCGAGCTGGCTCCCTGGTGCCGCCTTTGTAGGAGAATGTCACCAACGCGGGGCTGGAAGGAAACAGGCGGCGGCCCAGGGGCTGTATCCAGGAACCAAGTGGGGACAGACTGGGCCCTCGTGGAGCTGGGGCGGTGCCGCCCACACTTCAGGGCAGGCCCACGCGAGGCTGCCACCAGCTCCCCGAAAAGGAAGCGGTCTGTGCCGGCTACTGTGCCAAGCTTGCTTCTCTCCCCTGGCGGAAGCCCGGCGCGCCCTCCCCAGCGCGCCCTCTCCAAAGGCGCGCGCGCCCCAGACTCCGGCTGCGCCCCGCAAACCTCCCGCTCTCGGACCTGCCTGCGCTCGGGCTCAGAACTCGCTCTCGCGCCTCTGCGGGCCGGGCCTGCCGGCCCCGTCCTGCCCGTCGTCGGGGGCGCAGGACGCGGAGCGCGCGGACGCGGTGCGCGCGGAGAACAGGCTGTCGCGGCGCGCGTCCTGGCTGTCGGCGGGCAGCCGGCCGTAGCCCAGGTAGTCCCGCAGGCACAGCTGGAACTCGCGCGACGCGAAGTAGTACACGAAGGGGTCCAGGCAGTTGTTGACGCAGCTGAGGCACAGCGTGAGCTTGTACACGTGGTAGTAGCTGCCGCCGTAGAAGAGGCGGCTGACCATGTGCGCCAGCAGCACGAAGTTGTTGGGCGCGAAGCAGGTGACGAAGGCCAGCAGCACCACGGCGGCCAAGCACACGGAGCGCCGCCGCTGCCCGCGGCTGTGGCCGTCGGCGCTGCGCAGCAGTTTGAGGATGGTGGCCGTGTAGCAGGCCACGGTGATGACGAAGGGGAGGAGGAAGAGCAGCACGAAGATGGTGAAGAGGAACACGGCCCACATGGCCACGGTGGGCAGCATGGTCCTCTTGAGCACGTCGAAGCAGGTGACGATGCCCAGGTCGTGCACGGCGTAGGTGAGGTCGGTGCGCGCCAGCGGCGACAGCGCGGCCAGCAGCAGCAGCCAGGCGCCCGCGCACGCGGCCAGCGCGTACCGGCGGCGGCGCCAGCGCGCGGCGCTCAGCGGGTACACGACGCCCAGGAAGCGCTCGACGCTGATGCACGTCATGGTCAGGATGCTGGAGTACATGTTGGCGTAGAAGGCCACGGTGACCACGTTGCAGAGCACCACGCCGAACACCCAGTGGTTGCGGTTGAAGTGGTAGTAGATCTGGAAGGGCAGCACGCTGGCCAGCATCAGGTCCGTGACGCTCAGGTTGATCATGAAGATGGCGGACGGCGACTTGGGCCCGATGTGGCGGCACAGCACCCACAGCGAGAACAGGTTGCCCGGGATGCTGACCAGCGCCACGAGCGAGTACACGACGGGCAGCGCCACGGCGATCGCCGGGTTCCGCAGCATCCGCAGCGTCGCGTTGTCCGGGCCCGTCATGTTCATGTCCATGGTGGCGCCGGCGGGGCTCCC